TAACGTCGAAACGGTCTCGTCGTAATTGTACGCAGCCGGACCAATATTCGCACACTGCAAACAATCACTTCGCTCATATTTCGTGCAAATAAAATCACGATTACAAATCAAACATCTATGGCCATTACTGCCATCTCAAAATCCAAGTCTTTTAGAACAAACCCGAAAAAGAATCATGAACACTAACCATAACAGTTTTTGAGTTACCACCTAATGAATCTTGCAATAAACGTGTCAATTTCGAGTTCCGGTACGGTACATGCGTTGCTTTGGAATCAACCAAAGCGCTGATTACGTTGCCGAGCGATGAGAGCGACAAGTTGATACGTGACGCTTCTTTCAGTCTTTGCCCACTTGCACCAGTCTTCGACTGCCTCTCGCTACCCTTCAAACCGAATCACTACTATCACTACCAATATCAGTACTGTCATTAATAGTATAATTACTGTTGCCCTCAGTACAATCATGAGGTGCTATTGATTATATCAAGAAAGAATCCAACTGATTGACATACCGCGAGATCGACGAGTTGCAATTTTCCCTGAGTAAGATGGTTCTGATTCCCGATACGTTCACTACACTCGACGGTCACTGTGAATAGCGCATGTGAACGTGAACTTTCGACATTCATATTTGTCGCTCCAACTGACCTGAAATTCAACGAATTTCGACCTGTGAGAGAGCGATTTTTGAGAAAGTCCACAAATGAAATCACTGTAAATGACAAAAAACTGCGGTAAAATCACAAAAAAAAGCAATTGAATGATTACCTATTATTACTACCAAATTGCATAATCCTGGCCATATGATCCGCACTTGACACAGTTACACTCGACAAATCTTTCACGTAAACGCCTATATCGGGTCTTTCCTGTAACCAAATTTACATTACTGGACAGAACTTATGCAGAATAACTTAACCGAGTAATGTAACAGAGCGAAAAAACTTGTTCATATTTAAAAATGATTCAACGTTTATGACTGAATACTGAATCTCAAATTTTCTCTATAAAAATTTGAATGCAAATCAACACACCTTAATTTCAAGACCACGAACGGGATTTTTGCTTAGCAAATCGCGTATCTCTTCGTTGTATATTTCCAAATAAGAAACCCGCACCAAGAACGTCTTATCTTGTTCACATTTTGCGATGTGATCGAAAATGTGCGCAAATGAATTCGGTATTATGCCTGCATGCTCGGCCGAATCGGCCAACCCGGACATCGTATAAGTCTTACCCGTTCCGGTCTGACCATATGCCAAAATCGTGCCTGCAATGATATAAACAATCTCATTCACAAGAGCCACTTCATTTCAAAAGGCATCATCACTGAATTACTGATATTTCAAATTCCAGTGCTTCAGTTTCATTTAACCCCAATAAACCTCCGATGTGCTTCTTTTATGATGAATCAATTGAAGGTATAAGTTCATATACTGGAACTGAACAGGAGTGAAATTAATGTCTTGATCGATATCATCACAAACTACTGATAAAAGCAAAATATCACTGATGACTGCATTCATTCTATCAGAAAATAGATCAGTTAAAAAACGGCACCGTTGTATCCTTGTAATACATTATCCACGATCGGCCGGGCCGCAATATTGTAGACACTCAACTGATCCGAATTCTCATCGAACACCGCATCGAACGTATAGAAACGTGGTGGATCCTGAGAGGCGAGAAAAACTTCAGAAAATTTGTATGTTACAAACTGTATAAGAATCACCAAATAACATTTACATTTACATAATCAAGGAATGACAATGACAATAAAACGATAATAACCATACCAACAATCACATCAATAATAATAATAACATTTATGAACAATTGAGAATCCACGAAGAGCACTCCAACCAATATGGATGATTTACCTGAGGTGAGAGTGGGTTGATAACGGACACAGAGTTGTTCTCACTGTCGACGTTCACCACTGATCGCCCACGATTTTGCTCATGTTCCATCTCACTGAACGGTCGACATCGCACAACCACACGCACATTGTCCGCTTCTGTATCCAACACCATCCCCTCTTCAATTTCGTCAGTGTATTTAATGGCTCGCAAATTTTAATTTCGAATTTTCAAACGCAACCGACATATTATTCACAACTCTTTGTCGAGCGATTTTCGTTGGATTAAAAAATACATACCAAAATTTCATTCCGTGTGATCTCTTCGCACAAAGTTATTTGTCTTATTAATCTAACTCTACGTTTGAAACATTAATACATGAATGTACCAATGAAGTGGACATATATCGAGAGAAACTGATAAAAACAAATATATTCGTGATGAAACGGTCAAAGAACCGTTTGGTTGAAATGAAATTACAATATCTTCGCCTGTTGATGGAAAAGCTTTATTTCGGTGATCCATATTTGGCGTAGTTTACACAACAACAAAAATTTTTCGAATGTTGATTAACCTAGGTATGGTATTTCGCTTTACAAAAAAAAATCAATTAATACGATAACGTTGATAATATCAGTAAAAAAAACTAATGATAATAGTGATTATAATAATGTTCTATGGGCGAATGGAAACCAAATCAACTCTGTATACAAATTAACTCCACAATATGCATTTCATCGTATAAGGATTGGAAATACAATTGAAAATTACTCAATGTTGCTTGCGTTTCTCAAATGTTCACATCAATTATCAATCGTAATTACGATGATGCAATTGGTCAATCAGCGGACGGTACGATACAGATTCGAAAGTATTTCGAATGTCTGCTGTGCATCGTCAGCAAAGTGAATGAATCAATGGATTAATTCATTGATTTATTTTGCTGATCAAAAATCCTTCAAACCCAATGGAAATCCAAAAAAAAAGTAGTCGCATTAGGAGCGATTAAGCAACTAGGAGAAGTGCTTTTATGAGAAGATCAGAGAAGACAACCTCCTGCTTAGTGATTCACTTGCTTCTCACCAACAAAAGTTACATTCAGCAATCGTCAATTTGAATTAGCTAGAGTTGATCACTGTTT